ACAAACATATGTTTCATATGTTTGTTGTTGTTTGATTTATCATCTACGGGTTTATGTCGAATTAATTTGATGGCCTGCTCCCAGTTGGCTTGTTAGCTCAATTGGTAGAGCGCTGCACTAGTATCGCAGAGGTCAGTGGTTCGAATCCCGTACAGGCCTGAAATTTTTTTCAGGTCTGATTTTCACTATTGCTCAAATAGTGCTTTACTGCGAAGGATCGTGCACATATACGTTTCATAACCGCAGTTCATACATATGTTTCATATGTTTGTTGTTGTTTGATTTATCATCTACGGGTTTATGTCGAATTAATTTGATGGCCTGCTCCCAGTTGGCTTGTTAGCTCAATTGGTAGAGCGCTGCACTAGTATCGCAGAGGTCAGTGGTTCGAATCCCGTACAGGCCTGAAATTTTTTTCAGGTCTGATTTTCACTATTGCTCAAATAGTGCTTTACTGCGAAGGATCGTGCACATATACGTTTCATAACCGCAGTTCATACATATGTTTCATATGTTTGTTGTTGTTTGATTTATCATCTACGGGTTTATGTCGAATTAATTTGATGGCCTGCTCCCAGTTGGCTTGTTAGCTCAATTGGTAGAGCGCTGCACTAGTATCGCAGAGGTCAGTGGTTCGAATCCCGTACAGGCCTGAAATTTTTTTCAGGTCTGATTTTCACTATTGCTCAAATAGTGCTTTACTGCGAAGGATCGTGCACTCTGAATTTTGTAACAACCTAATCATTAAATTGAGTGTCAAAGCATGAGGACTCTATTAAGTGATGGAATACGTGAATAACATGTACATTGAGTCATAGTTCTGACTCTGTCATCATCCTACAATTTCTTGTTATTGCTGAATTACACCTTGTGACTTTGTTTTAACTCTAAGTGCCTCTTCACATGAGCAGGGCCATTCACAACAGCTCAGTTACAGAGGTATCAATTATCAATTTGAGTTGATTTGTTAAAAGAACCATTTGCTAGTTACCTCATAAATGTGATCATTTGCTTCTTTTGAAATAGTTATCTGTTTAAGAGGTTCAAGTAGGTTTTTTTCCCCAGCTAATAATGTACATGAAAAAATGTGTTTATCTGATTGGCAGAAAACAAGTGTATTTTTCATGAAACACGAGTGCAAAGTTTTTTTACAAGTGCAAATTACAATTAACATATGCATGCTGTCAAAATTTCATTGGTCTTGACTTTCTTTGATGCTTTCTTCATGTAGATTATTAATAAGTAATAACATGATTTCCCATGCAATTTGGTGTAAATAAGCACTTGTAAGTTCTTCAAAGACTACAAATCACATTCACCATATAGTTCAGTGCAATTTTATTGTCTTAGAAAAATTTACTAGAGCTTATCGACACCAAATTGTACTCTAAATCTTGTTATTACCTCTATTTAGACAAGAACATGTACAGATTAATTGACTTGTTATTATTAATGCAACTTGTATAGATAACCTCATGTCTATTGTGTTAGGGTAATTGCTAAGGTGATCATAGAGATACCCTTGCTCTGATTGGTCAAGGATTACCTTATATCTCACTCTAATCACTTCTTGCTTGATGATTATAGCAAGGGCACTAAATTTCAAAAAGGTTGCCTTGAATTTGGCAATGTTTCCGTGGAAGTAATAAGCACAATAGAAGAACATTTAATTGCGAAGAGCACAAACGATGCTGTTGAGATTAGCAAAACACATCAAAGATATGAAGTTTTTTCTGATTGAATTAAATAAACCTGCTAAAACTCCTTGCTGATCTTGATACAGGTAATCACCACAAATGTATCAAAGTATGGGCAATACTTTATTTATTTGTTCATTTTACAGAATTTACAACATGATTTGGAAACACCTGCACAATTATACTAAAACAATTATTTGCCCCAGGTTCAGTGAATATTTCTGAATAATCCTACATCAACTCTGTCTGTAGGATTATTAAAAAATATTCATTTGACCTTTGGTTTAAGTAAAAGATGAATAGTTGTGGTATTTCCCAAGATTTACAAATATACATTGTAGCCACAGGAATGGTTACTTTTGATTATACAGGTTGTTATCATGTCAAGGGAAAGTAGAGGATGAATAATCTTTTTAAATTTTAGTAAGACCACTCTGCATGTTTATGCCTATAGCCTTTGTAAAATCATTTTATGGTGTTTGATTTGTAATCTTTCAGTGATGCTACAGCCATTTGATTATGACCAGAAGGAAAAAAGCAAACACAAGTTCATGGTACAGACAATGTTTGCTCCTGATGGAGATGTGGATCATGAAACTTTGGTAGGTTTCAATGCATTGCACTTTTGTTAACTGCGGTGAAAAGATCTTTGGATATTGATTTGCTGCTAAGTTCCAAAGCACCACATAAATGAAGTTTAACAGTTGGTCTTTTCTAAGTATGATATTTTCTGATGCATTTTAGAGAATATATGACTTCCCTCTCAGAAGCAAGAACATGGATCCTGTCAGTCCCGTTCTCACTAAAGTATCTGGTTATTCTGGTTTAATAAACAATGGGGGCCTGTATAATAGTGTACTTTGCAAAAATTTACGTAGACTGGTCATTTGATTACAAGATTATCACTCACGAACAAGGCACTAAGGGCTAGCTTGTACAAAATGACACCCTTAATAAAATCCTGATTTATATACTTAAGGAAAAAAAAAACAGTGATAAGTGTATTAGTCACACTTTTGCTTATGGTATTTTACTTTTATTTTGACAGTGGAAAGAAGCTGACCAGAGTCAATTTATGGATTCTAAACTGAAATGTGTGTTTGATTATGTGGATGATGGTGAGGGAAATACAGAGACTTCTGCAGGAGGAAATGTAAGAGCTGTTATGTATGGTGTTTACCATGGGTGGAGTAAGAGATTCCTGCTTGAGAGCAAGGTGTCTAAAACTGCAAAAATTGGCAGAGGGTAAAGGTCAATTTCAAAATGGTAAACTGGGATTTAGTGAAGACTTAGGTCTTTTTCTAGTTGTCGGTTCCTTGACATGGAGGGAGTAGAAGCCTTTTCAAATTTTTCCAAGGAAAGTTGTTTTAAAGAGGCTCTCTCTCTCTCTGGCTCTCTCTCTCTCT